GTTTATTCAAAATAGAAATGTTGTGTTACAATATACGCTACCATTCAAAAGTTTGGGGTCAGTATATTTTTTCTTTTTAAAGAAATTAATACTTTTATTCAGCAAGGATGTGTTAAACGGATAAAAGGTGATAGTAAAGACCTATATTGTTAAAAAAAAGATTTCTGTTTTAAATAAATGCTGTTCTTTTTAACTTTTTATTCATCAAAGAATCATAGAAAAAAAGTATCACAGGTTCCAAAAAAATATTAAGCAGCACGACAGTTTCAAAACTGATAATAAATCAGCATATTAGAATGATTTCTGAAGGATTATGTGACACTGAAGACTGCAGTAATGGCTGATGAAAATTCAGTGCTACATCACAGAAATAAATGATATTTTAAAGTATATTAAAATAGGAAACAAATATTAGAAATTGCAATAATATTTAACAATTTAACTTTTTTTTTCTGTATTTTTGATCAAATAAATACAGCATTGAAGAGCATTAGAGACTCCATTAAAAACTTAAAAAATCTTACTGGTCCCAAACATTTGAACAGCAGTGTCTATGTATGTAGATGGATAATATTTTTACTTTAAATATTACCTTTAAAGTTTATGTGTATTATTAACACCAGAACTTTGGTTTCAGTGCTTTCAATGTTTTTTTGTTTTGTTTGTTTTTTTCCAGTTCTTCTATTTTAAAGAAATCTCTAGGTCTTTTTCTAGATCATTTTAGCGAACACTTCATTGCTATTCTTTTTGCTGCCCTGTTGGAACTGCAGTTTTTGTTCTGGAAATGTGAGTCTAGATCAGATTTACAGCCCAATCCACAACGTGGACTTGCATGTTTTTGGTTGTGACGTTTTCTTGCCACTAGAGGAAGCAGTTTTGACTTAACCATACAGTTAGCAGAAGGTTCAAGTAACCCGGTTAAGTTTGCTTGAGCCATAGGTTGTGTTTGGAGCAGTAGTTGTGTTCAGTTATTTGTTTGTTTGCTTACAGTATTTACTTGTTTATCAGCAATGAACTATGATTTCCAGTGCAGTTTGTTTTCTACTTACTTTAATCATTCACAGAATGGTGTTTCAGTATTCAGTGCCGATGAAGTCTGTCACTGATGCCAACTTCTGTCATTTCAGTAAGTAGTAACTCTTATTTATACTACCAAAGTCTCTTTCCGTGTCCTTCTCTTCCCCTTCTCTGTCTTACGGACCACATTAACTTCTTGGCCTCAGTCCAGGAGAGTGTTAAAGGAATATCTGGGTTATTTTAACTTGATGTCTATGGACCGCGTCTGTGGTGTTCCGTCATTTACTATGGACTGTCATTTATAATTTTGGCAGATGCTTAATGCATAAAAATCAAATCCAAAGTGCTTACATTGCATTCAACCTATACATTTGATCAGTACATGCATTCCCTGGAAATCGATCCCACGGCCTTGGTGTTGCTAGCGCTAAGGTGAATGACAATGCATTTACATGAATCCACCTAGAATAGCCTTGAAAGACCAATTTAAATAACATTCAATGAATAGTTTTGAATAATTTTTATCTTGTTGATTATTTTCAGGCCTTAGAAATTTGTGTATTGAAAACAATACAGTTAGCTTTATAGGGTTAAGTAACTTTCTGCTGACTAGTCTTCCTTTAAAGACCAAATGTAAATAATTAATTTATAATTAAATATGAAATGCTGATTATTAATATATTTTCATTCTGTTCGACACCAAAGTGACCGGTTGCAAAAGTTTAATGCATATTAAATTATTAGCTTAACAACATGTAAAAGTCAAACTCTATAATAATGTAAGTGGAGTATCTTATGCACATCAGCTGAAGAGAATTTATTTGTATGATGCTCAGAGTTGCTGTCTATGTAGAGTGTTCTAAATCACTTATTAGGTTACGTCAGGATGCTTAAGTAGGCAGCAGACAGTAGGGCAGTTCGCTAGGTGTTGGAACAGAGCCTTACAGTCAGTGTAATGAGCGTTTTAATGGGCTGTCACACATGTGCAAGCACTAAAAATGTGATTCACCAGAAGTCTTACACTTTTCCAGAGAACCACTAATGAGGATTTATACTACAGAAATTTCATGGTCTCTCGGTTTCTCTATTGTACCTCTGAGTTTTCTGTGCAACAATTTTTTTAATTATCTCGGGCCATAGAGAATAGTCTCTGGAGTGATGCCGATCACATAACAGCTGAACAGCATGCCGTGTGTGTGTGTGTGTGTGAACACTCCAGAGTTAATGATGCATCGCGTCTGCAGGCGACACAGGCTGAAAGTAGAAACATTTCACAAATGCCTACTGATTAAAGCAATAAGCCAACAGAGGCTGTTACAATGATTTTACCACGTTTAAGGAGTTACAAAGGCAGCAACGACAATATGAATTCTGTTTATTGGTATAGTCCATATGTTGATGTCTTTCACAAACCGTTAAACTTCTGTAATGTGGTTTAATTGACAGTGAAACTTGATATCCATTGAGACAAATAAATAGTACAGAAGTTGTCCTTATTTTAACCTGAATTATTAGCAAACATACAGTATTTTTTGTATATAATTTTATTATATCATATTTGCATTTTTATATATTTACATATTTATTCTTCTCTTATATTTCTCATATATATATATAAAAAAAAATTTTTGAAACATTTTTTTA